CTCGCAGCGTCATAGCGAGAAACCGCCTCGGCCGTGGACCCACGGGTCTCGGGTTCGATTCCGCTCAAGGGCACACCGGCCGGGCACACGGTGGGGGCGCCTGCGGAGGCCACAGTCGCTGTGTGTCTCACACTGTTTCTCTCTCCCCTCCCTACACTCCCTCTAAAAATCAACGGAAAACATATCCTTAGGGGGGATTAGCCAAAACAAAAAAGGGAAGAGGAGCATGCTGGGAATGTATAGGCATCACCGGCTCCCAGTGAACTCGTGCCGCGTGAGGCATTTAATAGCCGGGAGGCAGCTGACACACCGGGTCCTAAGCCCATGTTCACGGTGGGAAGTGAAGGCAGTAACACGGTTCTCGCCCACACGGTTCTCGCCGGCCTCGGGGCGGGTTCTGCGTGGCACCCGCAGGCTCACGTGTGTCCCCTTGAATTCCAGAGCGACGAGACCGGCGCCCTCCTCGTCCTCGGTGGCGAGTGGGCTGTTTTCCGCCTCTCACACCCTGGAGTGGTGACCCAAGTGGAAATCGACACGACGCATTTTGAAGGTAAATGTAAAGTCACGAGGAAATGCGTTTAATCGGCCTGACCCAGGGCCCTAGCCAGTGTGGCTCAGTGGATAGAGCGTCGGCCTGCGACTGAAGGGTCCTGAGTCCGATTCTGGTCAAGGGCTCAATCCCCTGTGTGGGGCGTGCAGGAGGCAGCCGATTAGTGATTCCCTCTCATCGTTGATGTTTCCATCTCTCTCCCTCTCCCTTCCTCTCTGAAAGAAAATATCCCATCTAATAAAGGGCTAATATGCAAATTGACCAAACGGCAGAACGCCCAGTTGCTATGACATGCACTGACCACCAGGGGGCAGACGCTCAACACAGGAGCGAACCCCTGGTGGTCAGTGCGTTCCCACAGGGGGAGCGCCGCGCAGCCAGAAGCGGGGCTGACGGTTGGCGAGTGCAGTGTGGTGGCCGGAGCCCCTCCCGCTCCGCAGTAGTGCTAAGGATGTCTGACTGTGGCTGAGGCCCGCTCCTCGCGGGGAACAGGCTAAGCCATCAGTCGGACAGCCCCCGAGGGCTCCCGGACTGCTAAAGGGTGCAGGCCAGGCTGAGGGGGACCCCCCCCCCCGAGTGCACAGATGTCGTGCTCCGGCTCTAGTACATACATGTATATACTAAAAAAAGGCCATGTGATCAGGTGGTGGGGGCGGGGGCCCAGGACCGTGGGCCTGGCTTCCACTCTCCCGCTGTGGAGCCTCGAGTGAGTTGCTGTGATGGTTTGTGCTCTAGTTTCCGTTTATAAAGTGTCAGGATTGAGTGGTGACCCCAAACCTCACAGGAGACTTCGATGCTGTGAGCTTTCGACATGGGCCCTGGTCCCACTCAGAAAGGGCCTGTGAGGTGCTCCGTGGTTTGGCTCCAGGGTGGAGGCCCGGGATGGAGGCCCCGGGATGGAGGCCCCGGGATGGAGGCCCGGGATGGAGGCTCGGGATGGAGGGCCCGGGATGGAGGCCCGGGATGGAGGCCCGGGATGGAGGCCCCGGGATGGAGGGCCCGGGATGGAGGCCCGGGATG